TGAAAATCTCTGGAATGTTGCCTGGGAAGAGTTTTCAAAATTTTCTTGGTTGGACCTCCAAAATTGTCAGAGGATGTAAGACCTCTGTTCTATCGGAAATAAAAAGAAAGCTGAATTTCTTGCTTACTGCAGTTAGAGACTATTGATCTTCTATAGAATATTTGGGAAGAGTATAGTTCAGGGATTGCAGACTTGCAGACTTGCAGTAGGTCAGCATCTTCTGAAGAAGGGTAGTTACTCAGGTAAGACTCTTGTGGATTGATTTGTCCTCAGAGGTATGCGTATTGGATTAAGTCATCCCTGGTTGGCTGGCTTACAGAAACAAGGGGATGACATTGATTAGTTGGCTTGCAAAAGTGTGTTTGCTGAAGTAAATTGATGTAGATTGATTCAACAGGCTTAAAACTCATTCTTATGGCTACTTGTTACTATGGTGACAGAGTAATCCATCTTTTCCAGTTTGTGGGAATTTTATTTTATTCCTAGGAGTATATGAATGTTTGTTTTCATCTAGTTTTATTGTTTAGTTTCTTAGATATTAATCTTAAATTCATAAAGAATTTTCTAAAATTGGCTAGCAGGCTAACCCGTTTTTTTAATGATCTTTTTTCTTTTTTTCCTTTTTTTTTTTTTGAGACAGAATTTCGCTCTCGTTACCCAGGCTGGAGTGCCATGGCATGATCTTGGCTCACTACAACCTCCGCCTCCTGGGTTCAAGCGATTTTCCTGCCTCAGCCTCCCGAGTAGCTGGGATTACAGGCATGTGCCACTAAACCTGGCTAACTTTGTATTTTCAGTGGAGACAGGGTTTTTCCATGTTGGTCAGACTGGTCTTGAACTCCCGACCTCAGGTGATCCACCAGCCTCAGGTTCCCAAAGTGCTAGGATTACAGGCATGAGCCACTGTGCCCAGTCAGTGATCTTTTTTCTTACAAATTTGAAATACTACCTTATTCTACACTTAGTGTTAATCTGTTCGAGTCTATTTCCGAATCTTTTATTCTGTTCCATTAATTTATTTCTTTTTTCAGGTGTGTAAAGGTACAGTTGACATCCATAAAAAACCCACACACATTTAAAGTATACAGTTTGATGAGTTTTGATATATGTATATATAGTTGATATATTTCACCTGTGAAACATTGCAGTGAAGAAAGTGGACACAGCCATTGCCCCAAAATGTACTCAGGTGTCTCTGAAGCCTCTTCCGGCTTCTGTTCCTCCTCTGCACCCCATGGGCAGCAAATACTGGTCAGCTTTCTGTCACTAGAGATTATTCTGCATTTTCTAGAATTTTATGTAAATGGAATCACTATGTTCTTGTGCTTTTTTTTTTTTTTTTTGAGATGGACTCTCTTCCTGTCACCCAGGCTGGAGTGCAATGGTGCAATCTCGGCTCACTGCAGCCTCCACCTCCCGTGTTCAGGCAATTCTCCTGCATAGCTTGGATTACAGGTGCCTGCCACCACGCCCAGCTATATACTTTTTTTTTTTTTTTTTCCTGTTAGAGATGGGGCCTCACTATGTTGCCCAGGCTGGTTTCGAACTCCTGGGCCCAAGCACTTCTCCTGCCTAGGCTCAGCCTCCCAAAGTGCTGGGATTATAGGCATAAGAGGGGGCAAGGAAGAAGACCCACCCGACAGCCCACCCACCCACCTGCCTGCCTGCTATTGTTTTTCAGTTGGCTTCTTTCACTCAGCGTTATTTTGAAAGCGTTCGCATTGTTGTATGTTGTAAATGTTCATTCCTTTTAATTGCTGGGTAGTGTTTCATTTTGTGCCTCTACCACAGTTTATTCACCCATTGTTTCCAGGTTCTTTCCAGCTGTCGGCTGTTACAAATAAAGCTGCTATAAATATTAGTGTACAAGTCTTTGTGTGGACATACACTGTCATTTCTCTTAGTTAGTAGATACCTGGGAGCGGAGGGGCGAGTCATATAGTAGGTGTGTGTTTAATTTTATAAGAAACTCTTTCCCAAAGTGTCTGTACCGTTTTACATTCCCACTAGCAGTGCCTGAGAATTCAGGTTGTTCCACATTCTCATCAATACTTCATTTAGTCAGTCTTAATTTTAGAAATTTTAACCAGTGTACAGTGGTATCCAATTGTGGTTTTGATTTACATTTTCCTAGTGAATAATGATGTAGAGCATCTTTTCCTGTGTGTACTTCCCATTCATTTGTCTGCTTTGGTGAAGTATCTGTATCTTTTGCCTATTTTTAAATATTTGGGTTGTTGTTTTTACTGAGCTGTGCAGTAATTCTTTACATATAAGAAGTACAGATCCTTTATCAGCC